TTTTGCTTTGTAATGAGAGGTTGTGAGAAAATAAAAAGAAAAAATTGAAAAGACATTTCCAGGGAAGGCAAGCTAAATATGCACCAAGTTGGGAGTGAGAGAAATGATTGCAGAACTTCTGAATAAATTAGAGGAGAGAAAAGATAGATTTAAGAAGTAGATTGCATCTCCAGACTCCACTACTGCTGCTAGTTTTGTTGCAAGGATGGAAAACCATCCACAAATCAAACAGGTAGCGCTTTGATGCAGGTATCTGAACTTTCTTCCATTTTTCCCCAAATCCTTAAAATATAAATCACACCAAGGAACGATGGTGATGGAGGATGTGGGATTTCAGGGTTATAGAGCACTGCTCTGATGTCAGTTCCTGTTTGGTTCCTCATGACTCAATCAACTCCTCGCAACAGAAACACGTCCACCATAGAGAGATTCCTTTATTTTGTTTCTAGAATTTCATCCATGCAACAAAACCTAAACCACGCAGTGAAGAGCGATGAAGCAGCGCGCAGTGCAGCGTTGCGTGATGGGAGCGTTCACTGCTCCTCCCTCACCTCATGATGCTATGTGACATTTGCTCCAGGATAAACATTTAATCATGAATGCTTATCATATATTTAAGCCCACATAGTCCTTGTCTATAGTGCATATATAAGACTTTTACATTTTTGAGGCTCCAGAGAGATTTATTTTATGATTTTGTGCTCCAATATGGCTCTTTGAGCAGTTTGGGTTGCTGACCCCTGGCCTAGTGCTTAAGAGATATCACTTGTGCTCTGAGAAGGTTGCAAGTACCCGGTTCGATCCCCGCAGCCTCAAATCTGGGTTCCTGAGCAAGAGCCTTAAAGGAATAGTACACCCAAAACATGATTAGCCTTCATTTTCTACTCACCCCCATGCTGAACAACACTCTGGAGTACTTTTTTTGATATCTCAAATGCATCTGGAGATCTGGGAGGCTTCTTGCTGTCTGCTGACATTCAAATAATGGAGGTCTATGGCGCCCGAGGCAGAAAGGTCCATAAAAGTCCACAAAAAACGTCTCAATATTCCTCCATACTGCTCGTCCAATGTATTCCAAGTGTCCTGAGTGGGTAGCGTCCAGAATTTACTCGAAACGAAGTCATTTAGAGTGTTTTTAGAGCATAAACAGTAGTGTATAGGATTTCTTAAAAGCGCGTTTACGAGTCTACGGAAACCGCGGCAGACCAAACCAGATGAAAGTGCGCATTCAGCTCGGCAAAGAACTCATGCTCTTCCTCAACACTGAAGTCCTCAGACATTTTTCTTTCGTTGTTTCTTTCTTTGCACAGGTAAACAGCACATTTCTTCTTCTACGCTTGCATTATCGGCAGAGCAGACGCTGAATGCGCACTTTCGTCTGGTTTGGTCTGCTGCGGTTTCCGTAGACTCGTGAACGCGCTTTTAGGAAATCCTATACACTACTGTTTATGCTCTAAAAACATTCTAAATGACTTCATTTCGAGTAAATTCTGGACGCTACCCACTCAGGACACTTGGAATACATTGGACGAGCAGTATGGAGGAATATTGACACGTTTTTTGTGGACTTTTATGGACCTTTCTGCCTCGGGCGCCATAGACCTCCATTATTTGAATGTCAGCAGACAGCAAGAAGCCTCCCAGATCTCCAGATGCATTTGAGATATCAAAAAAGTACTCCAGAGTGTTGTTCAGCATGGGGGTGAGTAGAAAATGAAGGCTAATCATGTTTTGGGTGTACTATTCCTTTAACCCCGGACCCTTAACCACACAATGGCAGCCCACTACTCCCCAAGGGATGGGTCAAATGCAGAGAATGAATTTCCCCATTGTGCGACAATAAAGGGATTTACATTTACATTTCCCCCCCCAAAAAAGATAGGCAATTATTAATGCAGCCAGTGTGCAGAGATCTACCATCACACTTTCTATGTACTGTTACGCGATCCCCTGGCTGATCCGGCGCTATTGGAGGGCCACTATGTGGAAGTGTCGGCGGACTTGGTGGTTTAACAAGAGGGCCTATTCTAACTCCTGGATGTTCAACAGCCTGAAGCCTGGATTCTAACTCTGACACCCTCACCTTCAAAGCAAAAATACAAATTATTACACATCCTATTATCACTAAAGGATGCAGAGGAATAACTGAACATCTGACGCAGAGAGCAGGAGAGAGGCATCCAAAGTGGCTCTCTCTGGAAGGTTTAGAAACCAGTCGGAAAAGAATCAGGGGAGAGAAAGGGGGGAGTCATAGCGATGCTAAGCTAGCACTAGCCTTGGCCTGCTACCCTTTACTACCACAAGTAAAAGTAATTTGAACACACATTTCCCAGTTGACAGATCCAAAGATGCATGAATGATTTGTAGCCAAGTGTGTAAATAGTAACATGTGGAAACTTGCTGCTATGGCCATGCCCCCATGCCTTAATGTAGCAAAAAGGTTTTAAAATACCGTAAATTCCGGACTATAGAACGCACCTGATTACAAGCCGTACGCTCTAATTTTAGAAAAAAAATCAATTTTGTACTTTTATAAGCCGCACCAGATTTTAAGCTCCAGGTTTCCCACGTTGTATATTACACGTGAGCAGTTTTTAAACGTTTGATTTAATCCGTATGATAAAACAAACAAATACGGTACATATTATGAATGCTTTTTTTTTTCAAACTACCTGTAACACATTTAAATATACGTATGTGTGGGTAACACGGAAATAACGCTGCATATACCGGTACTTTTAATTGAACAACGCACAGAACATTGGAGCCGACCAGGAAAAGTCATTAATCACTTTCTTCTTCCTCCTGCGCACTAAAACCCTCAAAGTCCTCTTCCTCGGTGTCTGAATGGAACAGCTTCAGGATGCTGTCACTGACTTCAGTCTCATCCCTGTCGCTCTCACTTGAGCACTCGCGGTCCTCTTCATCACGGGGGAAATCCCAACCTTCCGAAACTCGCGGTGATGCTGGATGTTTTCACATGGCTCCACGCACTGAGAACCCACTGGCAGACATCAGTGAAAGATGCCCTTCGCATGCGGCCAGTTTTGGTGAAGGATTTCTCGCCACTGGTCATCCACGTCTCCCACTCACTGCGCAGTGCCACTTTAAATGCACGGTGCAGCAACTCGATTTCCGTTTTCAATCGCCAGATGGGTTGCCTTTAATTTAAAGTGGTATTGTATGCTTTTCTTTGAGTATCCATGTTGAGGGTGAGTATAAATGACTGATTTACAAGACTGTAAATAACTGTGAAAGTGAGAATTATGTATCGCACAATTTCATTGGACCTCTGTGAATACTCATCAATTTTATTGGTCCGCACTGTATTATAGGCCGCAGTGTTCAAACAGCGGGAAAAAAGTAGCGGCCTATAGTGCGGAATATACAGTAGTTAATCTTCTATGCCTAAGCATAAGACGAGTCTGAAGTTTGCAAATGAAAAGTATTAAGGGGAGGTCTCTGAGTTTAAGACAAAGGAGACATTTCTGCCTTCCAATGGGTGCATGGGCTGTGGCTCCAAGATGCTGTAGTGATTTTGTTAAACCTTGGTCAAAGCATGTCTTTGGGGGTAATCAGTTTACTGTTTTTAAGGAGCACTGTGGGGGAAATAGGCGACGTCCACCAACTGTTGGCCTGCAACCCTGTGTGGGATTGTTTCAGGATCAACCGTATTGAATTTGATACATTTCAGGTGAGAAATCTGCAAATGAAAGCCAAACATATGGTCAGACCGTCTGGCCAAAAACTTTAGCGCTGGAGAGTAAGTGACACCAACAGGTTACACGGTGTATACAAAATGAAAATAAAAGTTGTCTAAGTTCTCTAAGTAACAGCATTCACTCTGAAAAGTGTTTTTCCTGGTTTGTTTGTGTTAAAGGAATAGTACACCCAAAACATGATTAGCCTTCATTTTCTACTCACCCCCATGCTGAACAACACTCTGGAGTACTTTTTTTGATATCTCAAATGCATCTGGAGATCTGGGAGGCTTCTTGCTGTCTGCTGACATTCAAATAATGGAGGTCTATGGCGCCCGAGGCAGAAAGGTGCATAAAAGTCCACAAAAAACGTGTCAATATTCCTCCATACTGCTCGTCCAATGTATTCCAAGTGTCCTGAGTGGGTAGCGTCCATACTTTACTCGAAACGAAGTCATTTAGAGTGTTTTTAGAACATAAACAGTAGTGTATAGGATTTCCTAAAAGCGCGTTCACGAGTCTACGGAAACCGCAGCAGACCAAACCAGATGAAAGTGCGCATTCAGCTCGGCAAAGAACTCATGCTCTTCCTCAACACTGAAGTCCTCAGACATTTTTCTTTCGTTGTTTCTTTCTTTGCACAGGTAAACAGCACATTTCTTCTTCTACGCTTGCATTATCAAGAGCAGACGCTGAATGCGCACTTTCGTCTGGTTTGGTCTGCCGCAGTTTCCGTAGACTCGTGAACGCGCTTTTAGGAAATCCTATACACTACTGTTTATGCTCTAAAAACATTCTAAATGACTTCGTTTCGAGTAAATTATGGACGCTACCCACTCAGGACACTTGGAATACATTGGACGAGCAGTATGGAGGAATATTGACACGTTTTTTGTGGACTTTTATGGACCTTTCTGCCTCGGGCGCCATAGACCTCCATGATTTGAATGTCAGCAGACAGCAAGAAGCCTCCCAGATCTCCAGATGCATTTGAGATATCAAAAAAGTACTCCAGAGTGTTGTTCAGCATGGGGGTGAGTAGAAAATGAAGGCTAATCATGTTTTGGGTGTACTATTCCTTTAAGGTCTGGTACATTGGGACTTGTTGGGAGGGATTGGATTCATCATTACATCACCAGCAGCAACAGATATTCATTTATTTTACAAACTTATATTCATCTGATTGAGTTTCTTGATATCTGGAAGACAAGAGCTCGATTAAGATCAGGACATATTGTCTCATCTCTGGTCAGTGAGAAACGCCTCTGCAGCAGCATTAGAAGATACCCAAACACTCACCCATGGCTCTACTCGCCCGCATCAGGACCTCCCCCACCTTCAGCCGAGTCTCCAGAGAGCTCTCCTTGTTTGACGACGGGAGCGACGGGCCATGCTGAAAATCTTTCAGAAGCCTCTCAAGGATCCGACCGGGGTAGGAATCCACGACAACAGCCAGACCTGAAAACAGTTTGGCCTCCAACAATCAGAGCTTTAATCAATATGAATATTATCTGCATCAGAGCTGATCATCACCTTGAATGGCTGACAGGTAGACAAATGAGTCTTCATGCTCCAGGTTTTCCAGGAAGAGCTGGAAAGAAGACGGAGAGAAAGGAAATTATGCAGTCCACCAACAGATGTTAGAAACAGACATCAGGGAGAATAATACAGATGGAGATGATGGATCTAAGGAGGATGGACTGTGTGGAGAATCCCAGGCTATACTAGAAAAAAAAAAAATCAATATTAGGCGTATCAGTAGCATCAGCAGGGGTTTTGGATTAAAAGGAATCCCAAATAAGGGTCTTTTTTCTCAACAACACCACCCTAACAAGCTCCCAGGAGAGCAGCGGTGGGAAGGAGGTCTGACTGGTTTATCCATCATAAATATCCCATGGGTGAAGATAAAACCAGAAACCTGCCTCCGCTCAGGTTAAGACTACGAAGCAAAAAAAAAAAAAAAAAAAAATCAAAGAAAAAACTCTTGAATCCTGAAAAAAATCCTGGATCCCAAAACTGCACGATGAACTCCAGCTTTTTCATGAAGCTTTTCTTTAGACATCTTAAAAACCGTCAAATCAACCATTTACAAATTGCGACACTGGATGATTTTATTCAGAACCCAAACTTTCCAACACCCGTCTTCACAGACAAAAAAACAATTGATATATGACTGAACGTTATCTACTGTTGAATGTCCAACTCAACCCGTCGCCTCTTGCAGAAAGCTTTGGCGTCTTACCAATCTGGCTTAATGCAGTGTCTCTGCTAAGCAGTGAGTGAATGCATACCAGCTGTAATGTGGTTTCCAACCCAATATTTTACACCAGCCGTACTTTAAAATGGTAATGTTGCAGTTGTGATATCAGAAACTGGTCATAGATGCAATGTTTCATGCAGAGGGAGCATAAAGGCTTCAGGTTTTTATTGTTTCAATAGATAAATACATAAAGTATTTGAGGCTGTTATAAAACAGCTGTTTTTGTTCCTCTTTGTTTTATATTCATAGATTTTAAAGATTGTCAAACAAAACGGCATATCCAATAAACACTCATATGAGCAGTTTTATTTAATACACACATCTTAACTACTCTCATCACACATTGTGAAAGTACAGCACAAGAACAGGCTTTTAGCTAGCAATGCATACGGCCGTAAACAAATGACAAATTGTACGCCCTGTTTTTTTTTTCCTGGAAATTTTGCTCAAATGTTCAGAATTTCACAAGAAGCAGATACTGGAATTGGAAAAATTGACCTTCAGGATGCTTGATCAAAAATCTGAGAAGCTGATCTGGGAGCAGGCATGAAGACAGACAGCGCTGCTGATGCAGGTCGCTATTATCACTGCACTGAAACTGTGGAAACCTGCCGGCAAAAATATATTTGCCTCTATTATTCTGGTGCCTGCCAAAAAAGGCTAACATCTACTTCCAGTTCCCACGGACAGTAGGCAGCTGCTGCTGGGGATTCCCATGACAGCGCACCGCACAATATTTTCAGGCAGGATCGTAATCTTGATGAACTTACTGCGCAGATGATGTTTTAGGTGGACTTTCTTGCATTAAATATATCAAAACTACTTTTTACCCATTTATCACAGCAAATATAGCAAAGCCGCTCTCTGCCACTGAACAGAAGCAGGACAAACATCTGTATACACTTAAAGTTGCAGGGAAGCGGCAGTTCAAACCGCACATTTCCGAATTCTCCTAAGTCGTGTACGACTTTACACGAGGGAATGAAGTGAATGTGATTGGTCAATTATCAAATGGTAAATGGCATGTACTTATATAGCGCCTTTTTCAAGTCAGGAGACTTGACCAAAGCGCTTTACACTACATTCATTCACCCATTCACTCACACACTGATGGTGGCAAGCTACATTGTAGCCACAGCTGCCCTGGGGCTCACTGACAGAAGCAGGGCTGCCATACACTGGCGCCACCGGGCCCTCTGACCACCATCAGTAGACAATGCAGGGGAAGTGTCTTGCCCAAGGACACAACGACACTATAAGTCGGAGTCGGGGCTTGAACCGTCAATCCTTCGATTTCAGGGCAAACTCCTACATCTAATGCCACTGTTGCCCCCTTGATGGGGGCGGGATTGTTGTGGTTGAAGGTTCGCAAGCAAGTTTGATTGTGGCCGGTGTCTCAGAAGCATCTTGCTAACCAGTTAGCAACTTAGTGCTAGTAGGTTCCCAATGCGAAATTCCATCGGGACCAAGTAGCACTAAATTGGTGACTTAGAAACGACACTGTCAAGGAACGCTATGGACAGAGGAAACATGCAAGAGGAGGAGAGTTTAGTGTGGGAGGTCGTGGATGAGTCTCCTCTGTCATCCATTTTTTATTTATAGGAGGAAAGCGGGGATGAAGATGTTGTGGAAGAGGACGCCAGGGCCGCAGAAGCTTGATTTGGTGTAGAAGGCTTACAGCCGTACATGTTTGAGCCCTTGCCTCGCAACGCTGCCAGTTCTGTTAGCTCTACGCCTGCTGAAGACACAGACGTCCATCCCAGTGAACACTGGGACGGAACTCAGTGTGAAAGGAAATTATTCTGGTTTCTTATTTCAACCGCTGCGTATATTAGCTGCAACATAAGAATCAAGATACTCTGAAGGAAAAAAATAGATTGACAGATGACCGTTGATATATGATTGGCCGAATTTAGGTGTTTATAAGCTGACGTATAACTAACTTTCCTGCATTCAGAAAGTTTAAATTTCCCCGGTCCCCCCTACGCCACGCAAAGCCTAAATGGGATACACCGAGTTATACGTCTTTTGAAATGTTCCTAGCTAAAAGCCTGCACAAGAAGATTTGGGACCATTAAGCCCCAATATAAACACACAGACGAGTACTCTACTCTCATGAGGCTTGGATCCACTGGAGGGAGTAAATAACCATTGATTTGCTACTTTTGAAAGAAATCCCTCCACTTGAGGCATTACCTTTCCTTCCTGATTAATTATTGAGATATATAATTCATTCATTCATTCATACAGACGGACGCACGCACATAAACTGAACATCGTGTACTTTGCTCAGGGAATAGGAAATGTTGGAAGCCAAAACTTTTGCACCTGACCTTTTCAGGTGAAATCCATCTCTTTTGAAGAGGTATCTATTTTCCCAGAAGATATTAAAGTTATGAATAAAGCCATCTGATCTTGCAGAGGGGACTCGTTGGATCCATCTATGTTGAATCCCGCTGTTGATTTAATCTTCTACTGAGAGCTTTTTCAGATGTCAACCAATGAACACTTTAAAATGTCTCTGTTCCGCTGTGTTAAGCAGACCAATCATGCCTCTCTTGAATAATTCTGACTTCCTTTTAGAAACATTGACTAAATTCTTCAAGGTTGGATGTAATTCTGTGCTCTATGTGATCCTCTTTGAGAGTCCAGACAGCATGCTTAAGTCAACAATCCCAATTTCTGTTGTTTGGGTGGAAGTATTTAATCTGATTATCTGAACACCATAATCAGTTACAGTTATTGTTCTTAGTTTAGTAGCTAGTTTGTAATGATGCTAGGGATGCACGATATAATCTGCCCTCTATCAGTATCAGCCTGTATCGGCCTTAAAACTGAATATCGGACATCGGCCACCCCTCCGATATTTAATCCAATATTTGATCAGCTTCTGAGTTTCTAAAGTCTAAAAAAAAAATTAAAATACTACTTCTTCTTCTTCCTCAAAAATTCTTTTTTACAGACTTAAAAACTTCTAAAGACGAGGGAAAAATATTGATAGATTAAAATATCACAATATCTTCATATGCTGATATATTGCCATTTAAAAACACCATATCAATCTCTTTACTAATGAAATATTGCTATATGTCATCGTTATGCTACGAAATCCCCTGAAAAGTCACGAAATTTTGCCATATTTTTATATGTTGATATATTGACGCGGTATCGATCTATTTCACGAGATTTTGAAAGTAAAATAGATCGATACCGCGTTTTTAAAAATCAATTTGATATCAGCATATGAAAATATATTTGAGTATATTATTTTTCAAAGTGTCAGAAATGGTTAACAAAACTGCTATTTTCAATGACTACTTATTTTTGTCCAGCATTAACATCGGTATCGATATTGGTTATAGTTTTAAAATATCGGCATATCGGATATCGGACAAAATCCCAATATTGTGCATCCCTAAATGATGCTGTTTAGTAGAAAGCTGAATGTTCTCATATCTTTGACTGTTGTCTGCAAACAGACTCTTCCCTTCAGGGTTAGTATCCTATAGAGCAGCAAACCTGTTTTTTAGTGGAAACGAATATTCTCAGTAACCTCAGATGCTCATTCCTTATCCTTTGCTCTGTGAACAAATGGATTTATGCACCTGTCGTTACTTGGAGTGGAAGACATGTTTCTCTTAAGTCTCAGCCAGGTTTTATCCTCTAGACGTGGCGTTCACTCAGTCATGTCTATTCTCAGATCTCGGCTGAATCGTTTGTTCTTTAGCTTTGCTCCAAGAGTTTCCCAGTGAGGGCTACCGGTTTGGTTATTGTCATTAGAATCAGCACCTTTTTTCTTGGTTGCGTTGGTTAGTTTTTGCTGCAAGGTGTTGCTGTTTATAAGTACTGGTGGAGTTATCTCAAAGAATTCAGTTTGTTTAACTAGAGACGACAGGAAGTGCGCTTCCATCAGAAAAGCTTGATGGAAATGAAAAAAAAAATGAATAAAGTCCTTTAAATTTGCAAAAATGTTTTAACTCTCGCTAGAAGTGTCGTTTTACTTTAACAAAAATGAGTTGATGCATTAAACAGGAGAAAGAAACACTTTTATACAACTGTTATTTATACAACAATTGAAAATATCGCACAGTATATGCCCGGCTTAATGGGTCGACAGTAGAACTCTATCCAGTGTAGAAAAGGCGATCCAGATTTCTGCTCTGAATCCAGACTATCGTCAGCCTTACAGACGTCATTATGAATGACAAACTGGGACTACAGCCTTCAGGAAAAGAACTATAAAAAACAACGTTCCCCAAATGTAAAGGAAGGCTGAATCTCTCTGTTATGAAACCCAAACATGAGGGTGTGAACATTAGCGTGTGTCAGAGAGAGTACAGGAAAGAACTATTTCTTGTTAAACTGGTGGCCGATGTCTATAAGGTCTGACACACAAAGGACTTGGCAGAGCTAATAGCAACGGCTCGAGACATCAGGAGGTCCCTATATTAAAGGGATTAGCTCCATCCTAGTGTCAGCACTTCTCTCATAGCGCTCATGCGTGCACATCCACCGTGACTTAGTCCTTACCGATTAGAAGTTTTCAGCCTTAAGGGCTGGTTATACTCCAGCAGCAGTGTGTCACAGTGAGCTTGTCGCAGATATTTTTGATTTATGCCCAGTATCGAAGTGTGATCCGTGCTATGTTATTCCACGCCACAACACAAGAGGGACAACAGGAACTAGCTCTGGGTCTAGATACGGCCGAGGCGGTGAGGAGGCAAGTTTGTGCGACAACCGAGGGACATGAGTGCGAAAAAGAGCGGGGATCCAGGTGGAAAAAGGGTCCCAGCGTACTCGCGCACCTCTCTCTTCTAGCTGGTCCATCTTCACCAGTCGTTTTCCACAATGGCGGTCATACAAAAGAAACAAGCCGGTAAGGTACCAAACAGGAAATACGCATAGTGTAGAGCGGATGTAGATTGACCAATCAGAGGCCTCCTGTCTGCGGCACTGTGTGCAATTTGGGAGAGGTGCAGCAGAGTGTCTGCGGAAGGGGCGGGGCTATATCTGCGTTAACTGCGACACACAAGCAGAGGACCTGGTTTCTGAGTATAAATCAGCCTTTAGTGCTACCAACCTACGCATTCATTGGGTTTCCTTATTAATAGGTTATGATTAATGACTAACAAAAGGGAGGACACAAACCGTGAGGATCTTCTCCTGAGCCTGGAAGGCCTCTGGGTCTCTGCGTCGCACCATCTGAGTCATGACTCTCAGGGCAACGGCTCGGGTGGGCACATCAGGGTCACACGCCTCTAGCATCCAGTCAGACAGAGGTTTGTCGTTAGGATCTGCCTGGCTTGAGCTGGATGCCCCTCCCCCATCTGTAGGACAGTGATGCTGTGGGGCCTGTTGGGACCTGCTGTCATTTCTGTCCGGACCAGCAACATCTGCAAGGTTTTCAGGCCTGTAGGCGCCATGAGTGGCAATGACAACTCTGAGGTTGGACGCCAGATCCTGAATGACGACATCAGGATGCTGCTGAGACAGCGCCTCCAGAGGTGTGAGCAGGCGCTGCATGCAGGAGTAGTCCTCTGGGCTGACCTGTTGAGTTGAAGGAAGATTTGTTGCATAATTCAGTCCATACAATGTCAAGAAGTTATAGATGACCTGCTGCATGGGTGCAGGTGAAGGCGCCATGCGTAGTTTCAGGGGCGTGTACCTGAGGTGCAGACAGCAGAGTTGCCAACAGGCCCATCCCCATGCTCAGAGTCTGACTCTCCACTGGGTTCCTAACACTTGCTCCTGAGGGCCCTTTCAGGCCAACACAGGCTCTCTGGAGCAAGGACGCCATGAAGTCCACAACCTGCAACACATTTAGAAGCAGTCCGTAAAATGCGAACTCTGCTCAACGATCAAGAAGCTTACAGAACCAACTTCTGCAGCAAAAACTGTCCGTAGTCCAACATAGAGCCATCAGGGATGGAGGTCCTGACACCAGTCCTGGTTTCCAGGTTTCTCAACCTGTTTTGTCGTGCTGTTGGGCTCCTTTTCAGAAAGTTATGACTCAGTTTTGGTTTAGTTTTGTCAGGCCTCAACAAACTGCTCAAGGCCGGTTCAAAATGTTGTAGTTTCATAAATTAATAATAATTAGGATAGAAAACGTAACTCTTTGATCTTCAACTGCAGACACACATCGCACTGCATGTAAATTAAAAACGACATTGGATGGACAGTGGAGCTCAGCTGATGTGTATTATAGAAAACCTAATTCGGGTTTGAGAACAGACGACAAGAAATGACAAATAATTGTAGACCAGATATAGAGTTGGAAAGCAAACATGTTGAGATTGGAACCTTTTAACCTATAAATAATAGAAAATATAGATTTTGATCAAAATATTAAAAAGCAATCAAGTGTGCTCTGTTTAAAATCAATATTTTATGTATTTCAATGTATAAAATAATGAAGAATAGCAGCAGAGGCAATAAAAGGACATTCATAGGGTTGTGGACTAGAGGATTAAAAATCATATCACAAGAAACTGAAATGTAACTTTAATATCTTAATGGATACCATAGATCATGAAAAATGAGTTTTTAGTTGATTAATGAAGAAAAGAGTGAATGGGTCCGTTGACTATTAAAATAACAGTTAGTTTCAGCCCTACAACCACCCATCATCTCTGTACTGACCTGTGAGGTCTTCCTCAGCAGCTGATCATGCTGCAGGCAGTCCACCATCACAGCCAGCACCTGAAGAAGCGCCAGCTTCTCAGCTTGTCTCTCTGCTCCACCCAGCAGCTGCTGCTCCATCTTCAACAGCGTCATGGCTGCCACTTCCACCTCATCCTCATGCTTCACCTCTTTATCGGCTGTCGCAGCCCAACTGGTCAGCTCCTGCAGGATGTGCAAGGTCAGCGATTCAGTCAGTAAACACCTCTAATAAGCATGAAAATATCCACAACAGGATGTTACTTTGGAGGCAAAGGTTCTGATATCTATTTAAGGAGACCCACAGGGCTGGTAAGCCCAGTTCTTCCCATAATGCACAAACGTGTGGAACAAACGTGTGGAAATAGTCTAAAGCCTTTATTTAACCTCAATTAACCCAAACTATGCAAATTCCATATTTGTGTCCTGACACCTATGGTTGAGGTTCACCAATGAAAAAAAAAACCCTTTCCACTCTCAAACTGCCTTGATCCATCTCTTAGGTAATTGCTCCGTTTCAAAATCATGCCCTTTACTGTTTGTTGTCATCAGGGCAAATAACCACTCCCCCTATCTGAGTCCGCCCTCTACCAGATGCCATGGATGCCCAGCATCCAAACAGACATGCCTAAGCTAAGAGTTTAGCTAAGCGCTAACCTAGGAGCTAAGCTAACAGATTAGCTAAGAGCTAACCTAAGAGCTAAGCTAACAGTTTAGCTGAGAGCTAACCTAAGAGCTAAGCTAACAGTTTAGCTGAGAGCTGACCTAAGAGCTAAGCTAACAGATTAGCTAAGAGCTAACCTAAGAGCTAAGCTAAGAGTTTAGCTAAGAGCTAACCTAGGAGCTAAGCTAACAGTTTAGCTGAGAGCTGACCTAAGAGCTAAGCTAACAGTTTAGCTGAGAGCTGACCTAAGAGCTAAGCTAAGAGTTTAGCTAAGAGCTGACCTAAGAGCTAAGCTAACAGATTAGCTGAGAGCTGACCTAAGAGCTAAGCTAACAGTTTAGCTGAGAGCTGACCTAAGAGCTAAGCTAAGAGTTTAGCTAAGAGCTAACCTAGGAGCTAAGCTAACAGTTTAGCTAAGATCTAACCTAAGAGCTAAGCTAAGAGTTTAGCTAAGAGCTGACCTAAGAGCTAAGCTAAGAGTTTAGCTGAGAGCTGACCTAAGAGCTAAGCTAAAAGTTTAGCTGAGAGCTGACCTAAGAGCTAAGCTAAGAGTTTAGCTAAGAGCTAACCTAGGAGCTAAGCTAACAGATTAGCTAAGAGCTAACCTAAGAGCTAAGCTAACAGTTTAGCTGAGAGCTGACCTAAGAGCTAAGCTAAGAGTTTAGCTAAGAGCTAACCTAGGAGCTAAGCTAACAGATTAGCTAAGAGCTAACCTAAGAGCTAAGCTAACAGTTTAGCTGAGAGCTGACCTAAGAGCTAAGCTAAGAGTTTAGCTAAGAGCTAACCTAGGAGCTAAGCTAACAGATTAGCTAAGAGCTAACCTAAGAGCTAAGCTAACAGATTAGCTAAGAGCTAACCTAAGAGCTAAGCTAACAGTTTAGTTAAGAGCTAAGCTAAGAGCTAAGCTAAGAGTTTAGCTAAGAGCTAACCTAAAAGCTAAGCTAAGAGTTTAGCTAAGAGCTAACCTAAAAGCTAAGCTAACAGTTTAGCTAAGAGCTAACCTAAGAGCTAAGCTAACAGTTTAGTTAAGAGCTAAGCTAAGAGCTAAGCTAAGAGTTTAGCTGAAGGGCTGAATGAAGAGCTAAGCTAAGAGTTTAGCTAAGAGCTAACCTAAGAGCTAAGCTAACATTTTAGCTAAGAGCTGAGCTAAGAGTTTAGCTAAGAGCTAACCTAAGAGCTAAGCTAACATTTTAGCTAAGAGTTTAGCTAAGAGCTAAGCTAATAACTAAGATAAGAGCTAAGCTAAGAGCTAAGCTAAGAGTTTAGCTAAGAGCTAAGTTAATAGCTAAGATAAGAGCTAAGCTAAGACAACAAGAGAGTGTGGGGTGTGGGGAGGAGGTTGCTGGTGAAACCTGTGCAGCGTTTCTGTCCAAAGCGATGCTCTGTTCAACCAGCGTTCCAAGCGACTGGTTGATCAGAGAACTGATTGGATCAGTCCGATAAGTTTCAGTTTACTCTCTGACAGTCATCTAGTTACCACTCAAAGCTGTGCATCCTGGGAAACGGCAGAGGTTGAATCCTCGAGTAAAAAACTAAAATATAGGACTAATTTTACAGAAGAATAATCATCTCTCTGAAATGAGTTTTTGGAACTTGGGATGTCTGCTGTTGTATTTCAGGGAATTGCTTTCACAACATTGATTTTTATTTAATGTTCAAACAGGAAAAATGCGCTGGAGGCTCTATTCTTAATATTTTGTATTTTCAAATGTAGAATACTATGAGACCTTTAAATGTGACAGAATTAAACTGGGTGACTGGGGTTGATTTTTTTTGCACATCCTGCTCTCAATCATTTAACTAACTGTAATATATATATTTAAAACAGGAAACGTTAACTTCACTCTACTGTTAGATAGTTTCCACATTCTAAGTATCGAAGCAGAGCTAAATATAGCCAAGAACACTGCGCATGGGGACACTGTCAAGGTTTTTCCAATTTTTCAGACTGACTGACCTTCATTTCTATAAGTAATGATGGCCACTCGTTTTTCTTTACTTAGCTGCTTTTTTCTTGGCATAATCCAAATTCTAACAGTCTATTCAGTAGGACAATTAGCTGTGAATCCACCTGATGGTCACAATTCCATTTTTAAAGCAAGAAATCCCACTTATTAACTCTGACAGGGGACACCTGTGAAGTGGAAACCATTTCAGATGACTACCTGTGGAAGCTCATCAAGAGAATGCCACGAGTGCAAACCAGTAATGAAAGCAAAAGGTGGCGACTTTGAAGAACCTAGAATATAAGACATATTTTCAGTTTTTTACACTTTTTTTGTTGAGTATATAATTCCAAATGTGTTAATTTATAGTTTTGACACCTTCAGTGTGAATCTACAATTTTCACAGTCATGAAAATAAAGAAAACTCTTTGAATTAGAAGGTGTCCAGACCTTTGGTCAGTACTAGGGGTGTAAATCACATCCATCATGTCGATTCGATTCAGTATCGATTTCCTGACCCAACGATTCGATTATTTTCGATACTCAAGAATACACCACGATTCGATTAATCGGTAATTTATTTATTTATATATCGTTGTGCATTTTTTTTTTTAGAAACAACAGCAAATAACAGAAGTAGAAACGTTGCATAAAAAAATACTGCAGAAAATCAGTGCAATGCAATACCTCGGCTCCAGACGTCTCCGCCCCCTCCGCAAACGCTCCGCTGCTCCTCTCCCAAATTGTAGCTGACCGCAGACAGGAGGCCGGTGTAGGTACCAGATTGACTCGGGGGCCTGCACCTTTTGATGACGTCATAATATGGCAACTCCGCCCGTCACTATATGGCAACGCCACTCGTAACGATATGGCAACTCCACTCAAACAAACTACATTGCGCCCGCGGTCTCTATTTGTCACAAATCTATTTTATTTAGCCAATAAACGGTAATCGTTTGGCACTGTCTGTTAATTGACCAAATACCTATAATACATTAAAACATAAATTTTTCATTAATTAATGCGTCCGCCATCTTAAATGTGGCAAATCTGCAGTTTCTCAGTCACTTAAACAGTATCAGAGGGACTTTAATCTCTGAATATACTTTGTATTCGTAGTATTTTTGTTTTTGTAATATTACAAGTTTATTTTTTGTATCCCTTTAGCTTCATTCTCCTGAATTTATTCTCGTTACAAATGCAGACCGCGGGCTCAATGTAGTTTGTTTGAGTGGCGTTGCCATAATGTGACATCATCGGGAGGCGCAAGGCCCATGGCGAATTTGGTGAAGTCATCGGAAGGCGCAGGGACCATGGAGAATTTCTTCGTAAAATTGTCCGTTTACATACCGCAATCCCGCTTTCGAATAAAACCTACACCCCGCTATAATTACTTTAGTAAGCTGTCCAGACCAATCAAAATGTTTTGCGCAATTGTGCAAACGTTAAAACAATTATGTATTGTGACGTCATCAAAAGGCGCAGGCCCCCGAGTCAATCTGGTACCTACACCGGCTTGTTTTGTTTTTATTACCGAAATTGCGGAAAACTACTCGTGAAGTTTGACCCGCTAGATGAGTGAGGTACGCGAGAACGCTGGGACCCTTTTTGCAACATTTTTCAGTTAATTAATGTGTTCCATAACGTTTTGGATGATTAAATGAGTCATTTCAGATTGAACAAAGGTATTCTCGGCCGCCCTGGTGGTCTGTGGGGGAAATACCGCACTTGCAATTGCAGGAGCCCTCGACCCGCACCCACAGGCTCAGAAGTCTCGTGAGAGTCAGTCTTGCTTTACGGCGAGAACTGCTACACGCCCCCAGTTAAAAGCATTCTCGTTGCTAGCACAGTGGCAATCTTTGTGCAGTTATGCTACGTTCACATCGGACGCAGCAAAATCGCGTCTGCTGCTTCATTTTTGCTGCTTGTACCAGTTAGTTCTGACGCGCGGCTGAAGCAGCTTTGCTGCTCTGGCTGCGCGGTGCAAAAGTGTGTCTGACACGCGTTGGGCGGAGCTTCACTATCCTTTCTCTGCCTTGCAGCTATTTTTGCTGCGATCATTGGGAATAAAGTAGTTTTAATATGTGTTTAAGTGAGAAAATACACCTAAAAACGTAATCAGTGCCGTCAGTTCATTCAGATTATTATCCTGCCTTCAATATTTTTTCTGTCTGAGCCGCTCAGACCCCCACATACCAGCGGTGCGCCGAAAGTAGGGATCCCTTCATCAGCAGCCTCTGGCCGGGTCGACTCCTCGCGGTTCACTGCGGCAGCTGGTAGGTGTTTTTCATCTAAATAATCCAAACTGCATATGTGACCCTGCCTATGAAAACCCAGCTAAAGTCATTTTTTGGTGAATCTCAACTTAATGTATAAAACCATTCTACACAATGTTAAGAATGTATTCTGAAAAATTCAGATTGATATCTCTAAAATTCACAGAGTAGGGCCATATCAAAGATTGTGCTGCATACGGGTTCAGAAAAACTGACTTTTGAGAAATTCCAATGTAAAGATTTGGAACTCAAAATTCTAAACTAAAAATACTTTCAACACTGATGCATCTTGGAATCACAATTATCCTGGCAGTGTGTCATACACCAAATTCAAGTTTAGATTCTGCTTTTTCAAGTAATATCCAACAGATGTATATAAAAATGTTCATGTTTAATAAAAATGGATCTATTTAGTATGATGATCATGGCGAAAAAGCATAGAAATTACACTAAATGAATGTCTAGGTGGTACCAGATGAAGCTGATTATGTAAGCAGTTGCATAACACAATACCATGATGTTACTATCAGATCATGTAGTCATGTTATTTCATTATTATTATTATTATTATTATTATTAGTAGTAGTAGTTGTCAAGTGATTTGATCTTTGCTGTGCTATTCCCACACTTGAAGGGTTGTATTAAGCTGAACATTAAACTGGATTCCACTCAATGACCAAACTGTTGTTTCATTTTTCCCTTTTTTATTCTTCTTCTTGTGTTGTTTACAGGTTTACAGAATCATTTAATTAAGCAGGTGAAAAACCTTTGAAAGAAATGAAACCAAACAAGGCATTTACCATATAGCAAATTGTAATAGTTCTGAGAAATGCAACATTAAATATATTTATGAAAATAGACTATGTTTTTAACTTTAAATTAAGACCATTTAGTTTTTAATTATCATAAAAAATGCATCAAAAAACGTATTAACGCATTTTAACCGAAGCAGATTTATGGAGGTTATTTAACTCCATAGATTACATGAATTCTTAAATAGCAATAATAAATAACCACTGAGTGATTTTTAGTTTGTTTTAAATATGCATAACATAGACTATGAAATTTCATTTTAACTGTTAGAAGTCTATTTTAATCACACACAGAAGAAAGATGCAAAAATTACCCCGTGCAACAGTTTCACAAACACATTAATTTGGATTGTTCAACCGCAATGTTAAATCACTGGAAAAAAAAGTTACACCAGCATTTTTTCCAACCAAATAAAGCAAGCAAGCAAGACTTACAAGCCAAAATTTTCATGACGTACCGTGTGAGTATTTATAAGCTTAAAACTACAAACAAACATTTCCCGCACGTCTCAACGGCTCATCAGCGCGGCGCATACATTCTTTTCACAACAGAAATGCAAGCTTACCGGCTGTCTGTTCAGTCCTTTGCTTCCTTAATACACATTTTGCACAGCTTCTTCCACTGCCCGAGTAAACGGGGGCTTTTTATTTTCATGCTGCGATCCTCTGCTTGAACTAGGAAGTTTGTCTCACCTTTTGATTGACTGATTGATTGCACACAGGTAAACTGCGCGCTCACGCTTAAACAGCTGATGTAAACAAAAGGGGCGTTCGCCGCAACAGTAGTTGGTTTATAAAATCACAAAATACGCTATTTATCATGTTAGAAATTGACTTTTAAACAAGCCATCCATAAACCTCAGTACTTAATCTATCATTTACAGCAATAATCTCATATAGCACAATTTTGACATTTTTATCGATATGACAGCTTTGACGACCTTTATTGAATAATTAGACGTTGCGACTTTAGCCGGGTTCTCATGGGCGGGGTCACATATTCTGCCGGCAGATTTCTGCATTTTAAGTTAATTTAGGCATCAATAAACTGTTTAAGAGGAGTGATCATCAGCGCTGTGTCTCTCTCCCTGCATCAGATGCTTAAACGCGCTGCTTCAGCTGCTCAGACGTGCTGCGCCTGCTGCTCAAAACGCGCCGCGGGACCTTTTGCTGCGCCTTGACGCGCGTCAACCATTGACTTTGCATGTAAACTCGCTGCTTCTGTCGCGCCAGCTGCGTCCAGTGTGAACGCAGCATTAGTCATTCGCTGCGTTCGCCTGTCTGCTAAGCTCAAAACAACCGGGCCTGGCTTGACGGAGAAACCAGGAGAACAGCTGTGCATATTTACGACAGTGCACTTTTACTTTCGCCCTCTGGGGGTAGCCTCGCTGGAAAATCAACACCGGTTGCATAGTGTACCTTTAACAGGACTTTCTTCCAGTTTCTTCTGGAAGATATGGGGGATGTTTGAGCTGTTGTTTACAACGCAAAAAGAAGCTCCACTTCACAAAGTGTTTAAGAACCAACATAACATGAATGTTTATATGTTTACTAATATGCTGAAAACATTTGATTACCAAAATATGACCAAAGAGTCCTTTAAGATGAGTTGTTATCCTCCATTCTTTTAAGTCGCAGGGAACTTATATTTAAATGTCAAATCATTCTGGCTTAAACGTATATAAATGTACTCTTTATCAGACCATATTGTCCCAAAGGTTAGAAAATGTATATGTAAAAAAAAAAATCCTGTCTTAATATCTGTGTGTGTTTTTTTCCGTTATCTTATGCAGGCCAGTTAGCTATACATCAGCCTGAACACCTAAATTTGGCAAATAGGTTATAGCAGTTTGATTCATATGTCGCAGCTAATATACGCAACGGTTGAAATGAGAAATAAGAATCATTTCCTTTCCCATTGAGTTCCGTCCCAGTGTTCACGGGGATGGACGTCTGTGTCTTCAGCAGGCGTAGAGCTAACAGAACTGGCAGCGTTGCGAGGCGAGGGCTCAAACATGCACGGCTGAAAGCCTTCTACACCAGACCAAGCTTCTGCCGCCCTGGCGTCCTCTTCCACAACATCTTCGTCCCCACTTTCCTCCTCTAAATAAAAAATGGATGACGGAGGAGACTCATCCACGACCTCCGACACTAAACTCTCCTCCTCTTGCATGTTTCTGCTGTCCATAGCGTTCCTTGACAGTGTCGTTGCTAACTGCTACTTGGTCCCAATGTAATTTCCCATTGGGAACCTCCTAGCACTAAGTTGCTAACTGGTTAGCATGATGCTTCCGAGACACCGGCTTGCAAACCTTCTGCCACAACAATCCCGCCCCCTTGATATTCGACCAATCACATTCACTTTATTCAGTCGTGTAAAGTCGTGCACCACTTGGGAGAATTTGGAAAATGCAACGGTTGGAACAGCCACCTCCCTGCAACTTTAATTAACAAGCCTGAAGAAGATAACTATTTCACTAGGAACAAACATATGAAGTTAATAAGCAATTAACTAAAGGTTATTAATCAGAAATTAAGTAAATCATAGAATTAAATATTATTTAACAGATATTTATTCACTTCTTGTATTTGCACTGAATTGGTTTGAAAACACTTAAATTGCTCTGAATGAGTTAAAAGCTAATATGACCTCATTCCAAATTCTTCAAGATAAACTTTAGTTCTCCAAAAAAAAATCCTGCTGAACTGTGATATCATTGCTTCACTTTCACTTTTATTTCTTGTTCTTTGTGTTTATATTAGCTTAGTTTAGTTTTTTACTAAAATCTGTCGGACTTGGAGCTGAATGATTTTTGTTAATAAACCCTCATATTGTAATAGAAGCTGTGGTGAATTTATTCCATGTATGTAGAGGATTATGTGTTTGACCATCATTTGAGCTCGATTCACACTTATCTGTTGTTCTGACACATAGCAAGTGAACTTTTCTTCACAGAGAAATATATGACAGTCTGAATATTATCTAATTACATAACATATTTGCCCACCGTGGGCATGAAAGGTGCAATACTGCGGAACATTCTGCATATTTTCTTAATAAATGCGATTTTTTTTAGTGCAAAGGGTTGGACTGACTCTGGTGGGAGCTTCTCTACCTGCAGCAGTTCCAGGAAGAAATCCCCAGGCAGGTCTGAGTCCTTGAGCTGAGCCAGCAGGTGCATCAGACACTCCAGCCTCCACTGCTCACTGGACAGCTTCTCGTACAGCTCTTCATCCTCATCACTAGGATTACAGAAGAAACTCTGTTACGTTGACATTTAAAGGCTGCTTAGAGGACCGTAAGTCTGCTGTGGTCTCCACCTGCAGGTCTGTTTGCAGTTGAGCCTTACGCCTCCATCAGCGCCCGCCCTGAACTGGAACCCCACCGCCACATCATTCTTACACTCTCGGAGGCCGGAAAGCTGCCTCATAGACGACAGAGCAGCAGATTTCTCCGACTGGTTCAGGAACCAAAGCAAAATGTCCTGGCAGGTGGTGCTGGGGTGCAAAGAGAAGACGCAGCCATGCAAAATAATTCTTTCATTACTCAGCCTTCTGTCTGCAGAACCATGAAATCTTGGTCTAAACCAGGGCTGTCAAACTGGTTCCAGAAAGGGCCGTGTGGCTGCAGGTTTTCTTTCCAACCAAGCAATAGCACCAGACTCCATTCATCTCATCAAGTAATCCTGTTAAGACTGGACTCACTTGATGAGATAACTAGAGTCTGGTGCTATTGCTTGGTTGGAAAGAAAACCTGCAGCCACACGGCCCTTTCTGGAACCAGTTTGAGACGCCTGGTCTAACCAAACAGGAGCAAAACGAAGACCTACCGCAGATGAGAGACGTTCTGTTTGGTGAAACAGAATAGCGTGAAGATGACGGCAACAACTTCTTTGAGCGCTGACAGGAGAGTCGAAGTTGAAGCGTTTCCAACCACCCAGACCTGGAGGTCACATGACACACACACATTATGTCCCGCTATACTCATAGGGAATTTGCATTGCGTGCCATTCATTTCTGAGGCTTAACCAGGACCCTCATCCCAAAGCTAAACCGTTAGCAACACAAACCTAACCTTAACAAACTCTATTCAAAACCTAATCCTAAATCTTGCCCCCAAACCAAGAAAAAATGATTTTCCTGATAGGGATCAGCCGACTGGTCCCCACAAGTACCTGTAAGCAGTGGCGGCAGCCCAATAGAGGGCGCTGCCCCTCCCACCCAATGGCCCTGATTACGATGTAAAAAAAAAAATGTATAATTTAATTTTAAATTAAAATGTACAATATTTCAAAATATATCAATACATTTTTTTTTATATATAGATATGTTTACTATTTTATGTTTAAAAACATCAACATAACTTAGAACCCAAGCTCAGCAAGGCAGAAAAGAAAAGATCAGTATAAATGTTTTCAGGTGTGCAAGATAAATACTTAATCTTTAATGACTAGGAAAGTGTTATCCCTTTTTCCGTCAGATCTGTGACGTATTTCTGTCCTAGGGTGCCAAAATCTTTGCCCATTGACTCTCGTTAAAAGTTGTACATGGGCAGTAGCTCCTCTGCAATACAAAGGCATAGGAGAGGTGACTGGAAGTGTATTTTCTCAACAGAGAGAGAGTGATGCCTCAAGAAACGTCCTTTCCCAGGAACTGGTTTAGCAAGAAGGCTTGGCTAACTGCATGTAGCGAGGCTAATGCTTTATTATGCTGCCTTGACAGCCTGCCTACTTTTTCAATCGTCAGGATCTGATCCAGCATGGATAAAGACATGTAGGACTGACTTAAAGCACTTTTTAGAAAAGGCAAAGAAGCATTAACAATCTGGGATTCAATTGGAAAATAATATAATATAGTGTACTTTTTCTAGGCGTTTGTTAATTTGCATAGTTCAGTAAAAAAAAAATGTATCACTCAAAATTACTTTAAAATAACTGACATTCACTGAAAATGACCCACACGCGTTGCTGACGCCATCTTTGTTGTTTTGTTCACATTCTCGCGTGATTTGAAAAAGCTGCGTGATTTTCCTCTAGATGGCGTGATTCAGCTCTTAGGGAGAGAATTCTGCAGAGCAGCAGCTGGATGGTGAATTTAATCTATACTATAATACACGCTAGATTAAAAATAATCAGTCAGGGATTAAGAAAATATTAATAATAATTGTATGCGCACAGTGTAAATATTTCTATCATATGGCTGACTTCTGTACAGTGATGCAGGTCATACATTAAAAAATCTTCATTGAATTTTTTTCTCTTAGACATTGGAGTGGTGCATTTAAATGCTATAGAGCTAAACATGTTAAATTGGTGAGTAGTAGTAGAGTAAGTTTTTAACCTGTCAAGTTTTTTTTTAGATTTTTAACATTACAATTTATATTTTTCCGAGCACACAACAGTTTAAAGCAAAGTTTAGTTTGAAAAAAATGTGCAGGAAGGATTGAAAAGCATGTTAACACGGTAATGTAGGCTTGAGTTCATTATCTGACGCATGTATATACACACCAGGAACCTGCAAACTTAGAAAATAGTAATTAAAAAACAAACATGTTTCATTGATATATATACAAAAATGAATATTAGGAACTATATTTATCAAACATTATACTGGGCAAGTAAAAATTGTTTCTGGGCAAAGGAAATGTGAAAGCATCTGTAGTTGCTCATAAATAGACACATTCTCAGAAAATAAATAGTTATTTATATATTATAAATATAAAGCAGACTAATAGCTTCTCCATTATTAAACTGGTAAAAAAAAATTCCAGGTTTGTGACACAATATCAGACCATTTAAAACACAGGTTTGCCTTCAGAAAGCCATAGAAGGGCAACATTTATGTACAAAAAGTAAACCTGTATATGAAATTATATTTTGTTTTTATAAAGGGTTTTTCTAATGTTTGTTGTTGTTGGCATTCATATAAATATATTGGTGTGATAACTTAATATACGTTTGATTGGTTTTTGGTATACGTCCATTTTGAATTTATAGCTCCCCCGGAGAAAACTCCACCAGCCGCTACTGCCTGTAAGTCCCCACAAAGTGGCATATTCCAACGAGTTTTATCTCTAGCTTTTTACATCGACCTTAATATTTTGATCTGCTCTCACCCATGTGTCTGCCATCACTAAGGGCCTTCCAGTCCTCTGTTCAATCAGGGCCACGCCGAAATGCTAAATCATCAATCACTCTGCTCATAATCCTGTAATCCTGATTCCATTTGGTCCTTGTTATCTTTATTTCTACATTCTGTGGTTCTTGTTTAAACTGTATATTGTTTGATCACACAAACTATACCATTAAATGACTTCATAACAGCATTTTTCTTTAAAACTGGAATTAATGTCGACTTTTTTGGGATAGCCTCACTTCCTGAAATAGTAATTACTGTTTGACACATTTGCTTTATTACTGAGGCGCCGAATGCCCTCTTGAAAAGGAGGGAATCACCATAGGAGCCAGTGGCTCTGCATTTTGTCTCTTATCCTAACAGAGACAAACAAAGCTAATAGCTGATGGATTTTTCTTCAAACAGTTCCTTGTTTATTATTCTTTTTAATTCAGTTTATTTCTATAGCACCAATTCACACACGTCATCACAGAACACTTCAAAGAGAAAATTCCACCAGGTGATCCAGTCAGATTGGTTCAAAGTTTTCTAAGAAAAACCAGCTGGTCGACTCAATGACTCTGTAGTAATCCCTCACACTTTGCATGCTCGTAGTGACAGTGGAGAGGAAAACTTTCTTTAAACAGGAAGGAACCTAAGGCAGAACCAGGCTCAGTGTGAGCGGCCATCTGCTGAGGCCGACTGGGGTTCAAGGAGACAGAAGCGGACATACAGAAAGAAGCATAGATACAAAAGGCAACTGTCAACCAGCTCCACAGGCGGCCCCATCCAGGAAACACACAGCCAGGCAGACGAGCTCCGAGCCAGCTCCAATGTCAGAGGATGAAACAGAGCATATACAGTACGGTTAGGGTTGAACCAACAAATATTGCAGAATGGGAGAATACAGAAAAGTGGTCCCTGTGTCTTCCAGCAGCCAAAACATATAGCAGCATAAATATAGAAAATAGGACAACTAACTATTTTGGATGAGGTATATCTGACTGTATGACTTGGTTGATTTTGGGATGAAGTGGTGCTATAGAAATAAACTGAATTGAACTCAATATCAGGAAGGTAGAGCCAAGGAGAAACATCTTTCCTGTGACCCAGATTTTCTGGTAATCTGAAGTGACCTTGATCAGATGTTCTCCAGGCTTTCTGAGGGTTTCACCTAATTATCTGGTATCATTTTTACCCAGTTTTTGGTCCAAATTTTGTAGTTGTCCATTCAAAGAGGATTATTCAGGTTAAAGAGGGTCATACAACCCAATGGACAAATAAGAGCCATGTTGACACAACTAACGTTGCTCAGAATGGAGTTTGACTAAGATTTACCTGTCACAAAGACACCCTACCCTAATCTGAGAAACATCCAAAAACATCATAAACCTCAACACGTTGGTCACCTTGTATACGTCCTCCAAACAGCAGGTGAGCTCATACTCCTCTACAGCGACCTGTGGGTGCTCTTCAACTACAAGAAAAAAAATGGGAGAGGAGGTGATAAAAGCCCTGCAAGGAACTGCAAAAGGAATAGAAGAAATATAAATCATGTAGAAGAAATAAGTAAACCAAAATCCACTGCATTACTGTATAGGACATGCTCCTAGGAACTACGTTCACACTGCAGGCCTTAATGCTAAATTCCGATTTTTTGGTGAAATCCATGAAACATTTTTTTGTGAAACATTTCCAAATATATGCGACTTGTATATGATCTCCTGTGTTAACTACATTCATACACCTAAGTTTCCCACATGTACAGTAGAGGATGCAATGACGTCACAAGCGAGCGTGCTCTGTGTTTATGGAAGTAAACATGCTGTAGCGCATCTAGCGAGCTTTCCCAACCTTAACAACACAATCTTTTCAAGATGGTTAAACATTAAGACTGCTCTATGCAGCACTGCCCGCCATGCTTGTTGTTTGTTCTTGCTGCTTCTGCGTGGCAAGATGGAGAATAGCGACCTTTGTCGAGTATTGATGGCATATAGGTTGGATGAATGTGACTTGGCCGTTCAGACAGGTTGAAATCATCAGATACGTATCGGATTCAGCACCATATAGCCAAGTGGCCTGGGTCGGCCCGGCGGTTTGCTCTCATATCAGCCCGGAGAGCAACGTCGGATATGACTCATATTTCCATGCAGCATCCATTGGCTTGAAGTTTTAATTCTCTTAGAGTGGTTCATGTCCTTTAGACAAGGAGGGAATCACTACAGCAACCAGTAAGTCCTTCAGTCTTTGAACATGAGAAGGTATACTGACCAGAGGCAGTGATGCACCTCTGCAGAGGAGCCAGCAGTGGGGTGAGAAGGTACTGCTGAGCAAAGCCGGGCCTTTCCTGCACCATCAAGAGCGCCGCTCTGGTGGCAACTCGCTGGAACTGCTGGGCCGTCAGCTTGTCTCGGAAGTGCAGGAGGTCAAGAATCTGAGAAACATCTGCTTGTTTTAGCAAGTGTTAAATTGAGCAACTTCAGCCACACAGACAAATACGATTTCATAAACAAAACATGGCGTCATGGAAAAGACAGAAACTGAAATAAGAAAAGAGAAACAGAATACTTCAGGGTTTCTAAGCTTTCTTTACATGAAGAAATTAGATGTTCTCAAAGCTGTGCAACTGATTTCCCCCGATGACATCACAAAGGGCAGGATTTTCAAACAGAGCATTGTGAGCACACATTAGATAAGAGGTGGACATAGGCAGTGAAATGACACATAGAAAATGTTTCTGAAGTGGGACCTTTAGGGCCCATAGTTGATTAGGGGTTGATGCAGACAGAAAGCTACATGTGCTGCAATAAACCTTCTGCATTATCAAGCAGGTAGAGAGAACAGACAGTTCAGGAGAACCTCTGTGAGGCTGCTCCTGCTCAGATGGATCAGTACCTCCCTCTAAAACTGAGTGTGGAGCAGACCTGAGGACAGACCAGGCTGAAGTAGCCATCTGCTGAAGCCGACTGCTGGGGGCAGGCCACCAGGATCCGAGCAACTGCATCACTTCTTCTCCAGTCCGAGTCGCCCCCTGCAGGAGGAGAACAGAGGTTCAGTCAGGAAAACCAATCAGCCAGAACCCTTGAAGGTTTTTCACTTCACTGTAATTCTTCACACTTTCCAATGATCTGCCCAGTGATTAAAGCAAAAAAAATCCTTAGCCTGAACTTAGCGAGGAAAGCACACACACTGGCGTACACAGTCAGTTATTGACGCCGGTACATCAGCTGTAGCGGTAGCTTAGGGTGACCAGACCTCCTCTTTTTCCCCTTTTAGTCCAAGGGAAATTTCAAAATCGTCCGGGATTTTGGTCGACTACAGTGCAGCACGTAGTCTAACCGTAAGGGGTGGACCTGTTCTTTTGGTTTACTTCGCATGTTTTCTAAGCCAAAACAAGGTTTTGTTGGGCCACTCTATAAATCTTAGAACTCAACACTAATCCAGACATTTTGAATAGAAAAAGCATGCTGTATCAGAAGCAAAACGTCTTTAAACTTAGAAGGCCCAGTTCAGTTTGGGAAGGAAAATACTGAATTGTTGATGAGCTCCTGGTCTGTCAGGGATCATGATTGACAGATGAAGAACAACAGAAAACTTCTTCCTGACCTTTCAGGGTTTTGTCATCAGCCTTGCATACAGGCATATTTTGGACAAAATCACGAATACAGATAGTCTGCTATGACCTAAATCAGCCGAGGCCTAAAGGGCTGGTTCTCCTCCAGCAGCAGTGTGTTGCAGTGAGCTTGTCACAGGTAATTTTAATATATGCCCAGTATTGAAGCGTGGACTGCACAATGTTATTCCACGCCACAACGCAAGAGGGCCAATCAGGAACTAGCTGTGGGTCTAGATACAGCCGAGGCGGTGAGGGAGTGGGGGCAAGTTTGTGCGACAATGGAGGGAGATGAGGGTGAAAAAGAGCGGGGATCCAGGTGGAAAAAGGGTCCCAGCGTGCTCACGCATCTCGCACTTCTAGCTGGTCCGTGTTCACGAGTCATTTTCCACAATGGTGGTCATACAAAGAAAGCAAGCCGGTAAGGTACCAAACAGGAAATACGCATAGTGTACAGCAGATGTAGATTTGACCAATCAGAGGCCTGCTGTCTGAGGCACTGTCTGCGGTCACCTACAATTTGGGAGAGGTGCACCAGAGTGCACTGCGACATACACACGGACGCCATGGTTTCTGAGTATAAATCAGCCTTAAAGGGGTCATAGAATGCAAAACTGAGTCTACATTGTCACAAATAACGATAGTTCAGTGGGTGAAATTGATGTATAGAAAGGTTCAAACCTCATCGACACCTCCTAGCTCTCCAAATCTCACAATTCTAAACTTCCACCATAAAACGACAAATTGACGTAAACTCTGGGATGTTGCCTTATTTGGTTCTAGCCTGTACTTTTGTCACGGCCTGAAAATTGACATACAGTAAATGCAGTGTTCCAGGCTGCACAGAGAAAGGGGAACCTTTTCACAGTCTTCCCAAGGATCTGAAGACTCGCTTTAAGCATTTTACCAAAGACAGCTTTCAAAATCTTGGACAGTTCAAAGCATGCTTTGCTAAACTTCTTTTACTGAAACGAGGGGCTGTTCCGACCGTAAGGCCATCACAACCACAAGCTGTGAGTATGACTGTCACTAATCTGTTGATAGCAATGCTAGCATATCTAACCAGTGTCCAGGCTACAGTCACCAGGACAGGTTCGGTCGCTTCGTCCCCAGCCCCGACCAGCCCCGGAGCTCATAGCTCGGTTCTCTTTCACTGTAGTTGACCAAAATCCCAGATTTTGAAATTTCCCCCAGACATGTTTTTAGGTACGACAATTAGGACATGCCCGGGAAAAAGAGGACGTCTGGTCACCCTACCTTATCAACAATTTGATGTTTCCGTGAGTGAGTGCTTGTTGCAATGATACGTCTTTGCTCAGCAGCTTCGCTCGTTGTAAACCAACCAATCAGCGCACAGCTCATCTAAATATTCATGATCATACCATAAAAGGAAGAAAACCTGTCGTTTCATTCTAGGGCTTTTAACCAGGCTTGCATTAGGGCTCATAGAACAGCAAATATGCCATTTCCAGCCCAACCAATGTTACACCCTATTCAGAGACCTTAAGGACCAGAACCAAATACCCTATAGAATCATTCTATGGCCCCTTTAAGGCTGTAAAGATTGAGTTACAGCCAAACATGTTTATGCTGTCACAGCTCTACACTAACTGAGCATCATCTCTCTATTCGTCCTCCTCACCCGTTCCGCCTTCCAGGATGGCTCTGACGACTGCCTGAACACCATTAGGCTGCATCAGACGCTCTGACAGCAGCTGACCGCAGAGGCGCCTCAGCCAAGCCGGAGCAGAACCCCGAGAGGCTCTACTGCTGCCAGGTCCGATGGAGCCCTCAGCTGGATCCGACTGGAAAGAAGACAGGATGGAGAGGTGAAGGATCAGAGAAATCTGCCTCGTTTGACATGAAAGCGTTTGAGTCAGAACAAAAAGGACACAATGAGCCTTGAGCTGGTACCAGAAGCAACTCTATCAACTTTTTATCAGGCAGGAAAAGAAGTCAGGCTGTCTCTAAGATAGAAAATGCATGTTTTCATCTAAAATAAAAGTCATTATCACCTGATTATTTCTATGTTTCCCCAATGGAACACTAAAGATTGTTTCTTCTACAACATGATATTTTCACAACAGGCCCATTTGAAGTAAACTGTCATTGTGGCCTCATATCTGCTGCCCCCGTGTGGTACGTATATTACTGCAGCTGTGAATTTGAGCTCTGACTGATGGGATGTTTTCAGCCCAGATCATCTGATAGAAAACAAAAACACTAGACCTGAAAGAAGTTCATTCCTTTCAATTCAGATTATTTCTTATAGCGCCAATTCACATCAAGTGATATCAGGGCACCTTACAGAGACAATTCAACCAGATCATGCAGTCAGATTGGTTCATTTTTTTCTCTAAGGTAAAACAGCTGATTGCTAATCGACTCTTCAGAACCTCATACCAAACATGCTGGTAGCAAAAGTGGAGAGGAAAAAATAAATTTCAACAGAAAGAAACCTCCAGCAGAACCAGAAGCAGGCAGTTCCTGCTGGTGCAGCCATCTGGTGAGGCTGACTGGGGGTCAAGGAGTCAGAAGCAGACATAACTGAACTTTATCGATTACACATTGGAGAAATTTACAGGTGCTGGTCATAAAATTAGAATATCATGAAAAAGTAGATTGATTTCAGTAATTCCATTTAAAAAGTGAAACTTGTATATTATATTCATACATTACATACAAACTCATATATTTCAGATGTTTATTTTGTTTAATTTTGATGATTACAAATGACAACAAATGAAAATCTCAAATTCATCATATCAGAAAATTAGAATATTACTGAAGACCAATAAAAACAAAGGATTTATAGAAATGTTGGCCAACTGAAAAGTATGAACATGAAAAGTATGAGCATGTACAGCACTCAGTATTTAGTTGGGCCTCCTTTGGCCTGTATTACTGCAGCAATGCGGCGTGGCATGGAGTCGATCAGTCTGTGGCACTGCTCAGGTGTTATGATAGCCCAGGTTGCTCTAATAGTGGCTTTTAGCTCTTCTGAATTGTTGGGTCTGGTGTATTGCATCTTCTTCTTCACAATACCCCATAGATTTTCTATGGGGTTAAGGTCAGGAGAGTTTGCTGGCCAATTAAGAACAGGGATACCATGGTCCTTCAACCAGGTACTGGTAGCTTTGGCACTGTGTGCAGGTGCCAAGTCCTGTTGGAAAATGAAATCTGCATCTCCAAAAAGTTGGTCAGCTGCAGGAAGCATGAAGTGCTCTAAAACTTCCTGGTATGTGGCTGCGTTGACCCTGGACCTCAGAAAACACAATGGACCAACACCAGCAGATGACATGGCACCCCAAACCATCACTGACTGTGGAAACTTTACACTGGACTTCAAGCAACGTGGATGAAGTGCCTCTCTTCTTTTCCTCCAGACTCTGGGACCTTGATTTCCAAAGGAAATGCAAAATTTACTTTCATCAGAGAACATGACTTTGGACCACTCACCAGCAGTCCAGTCCTGTTTCTCTTTAAACCAGGCAAGACGCTTCTGACGCTGTCTGTGGTTCAAGAGTGGCTTGACACAAGGAATGCGACAGCAGAAACCCATGTCTTTCATACGTCTGTGTGTGGTGGTTCTTGAAGCACTCACTCCAGCTGCAGTCCACTCTTTGTGAATCTCCCCCACATTTTTGAATGGGTTTTGTTTCACAATCCTCTCCAGGGTGCGGTTATCTCTCTTGCTTGTACACTTTTTTCGACCACATCTTTTCCTTCCCTTCGCCTCTCTATTAATGTGCTTGGACACTGAGCTCTGTGAACAGCCAGCCTCTTTAGCGATGACCTTTTGTGTCTTGCCCTCCTTGTGCAAGGTGTCGATGGTCGTCTTTTGGACAACTGTCAAGTCAGCAGTCTTCCCCATGATTGTGTAGCCTATAGAACTAGACTGAAAGACCATTTAAAGGCTTTTGCAGGTGGTTTGAGTTAATTAGCTGATTAGAGTGGGGCACCAGGGGCCATCAATTTTGAACCTTTTCACAATATTCTAATTTTCTGATATGATGAATTTGAGATTTTCATTTGTTGTCATTTGTAATCATCAAAATTAAACAAAATAAACATCTGAAATATATGAGTTTGTATGTAATGTATGAATATAATATACAAGTTTCACTTTTTAAATGGAATTACTGAAATCAATCCACTTTTTCATGATATTCTAATTTTATGACCAGCACCTGTACCTCTTCATTAAACCCATTTCCTTGGGGAGCAATGGGCTGCCATCGTGTGCCGCCCAGGGAGCAATCAGGAGTTAAGGTTAAGTTATCGGCTGGGTATTTTGGCCAAAGTCCTCGATTCCATTTTGATTCATACAGTTGTAAATCGATTATTTCAATTTATTCTACACAATTTTTCCACATGACTTTTACCATAATGAAAGTGGTTCACCTGTGTTTCAAAACACTGTCATATTAAACATAAAGTGCAAACTTGTAAATCGGACAGTTTAAACATGAGATGTGAACAAAACTGTCTCGAAAGTGCAAACTTGTTTGTGAAAAGTGAAAAAGCTTCACTCGAGCGAGCAGACGTGACACAGCAGACATGCATGAGCTCCATTATCTCCACTTCACAAGGCATATTTGCAGCATTGTCTGTAACAACTACAGGGTGTTTGCTGTTCAGCCTCCATTTGTTAATGTCTTCAATCAACCTATTGGCTATATTTGTAGCTGTCTGGCTTGAAGTATTCTGAATGCATCTTTCCTGCTCATTTGAATGTGAACGTCACGCACGTCACTATAAAACTAAATGATCTCATTCCCTATTCATCGATTTTGCACAAATGTAAAGGAATCGATTCAAAATCGTTTAAATGGATTTTTTTACCCAGCCCTAATTATTTGTTTTACATTCGGTGTTATAACTACACAGACCGAGCAAATCTAAGTTGTGTTTTAAGTGTGCTGTACTGGTGCATTTGTAAATCAGTGTCTTTATGACTGTTTTAAGTCAATTCAGCACTGCTTTCCTCCATGACAGGGTTCCTACTAGAGGTGAGTATTGGCATGAGTGTTGTGATTCGATACATGTCGCGATACTTGGGTCACGATACGATATTATCACGATACTACAGTATCACTATATATTGCCATATTTTCCCCAGCTATCAAAATCAAATGATGAGATAAAACAGCAAGTGCTGTTTATTTTCATCAGAAAATATTTATTAGGTATTTTTTTTTTTTTATCACTTAATTTTTATTTAAATTTTTGCAACTTACACAGACATATACATACAAGCCTACATTCAGGCTGCCGCTCAATATGGTAAAGTTTAAAAAAAGAACAAAACTTTGAAAGTATATACAACAAGTTAGGCTTAAAAGTAAAGTAGGTCACATGGTTAAACATAAGTAGCTTAAAAAAGCTACTTATGTTAGCTACTTATGTTAGCTACTTCCCATACAGGAAGAAAGCTAAAAACAAACAAATGACAGATATATTTTAATAATTATTTAACTGAATTCACAAACTTTGTTTTAGCAGGGAACAAAATAAATCAGTTTTAAAGCCACAACATAACCAGTGCTAAGTCTTTTTTGCAGCTATTTTTCTTTGAATCGTTTTCTTAGTATGTTTGATTTGGTGATAAGTGGAGGCGTTGCAGAGACAAGGGTGGAACTAAACTGACCGGCTGTTTCTCGGTAACTCCATTTTGACGCTTTGTGTTTCGCGCTTCGCATGTGCGACTCCACCGCCTTAATTCCCATCGTTCCGAGCTTGAATCGCTTCTTGCACAAAATCCACTGAGCCTCATGTGTGTTCCCTGGTTTTAGCCATGGAGAAAACTCTTGGCTGGATGGACGATTTTGGTTACATTTATACTTGCTCATATTTTCCAGACAAAAAGTAAACGGTGCATCTCCCAAATGTCCCGGCCGCAACAACGCTTTTATTGGTTCCGCTATCAGGACGGAACCAATAATGGAGAGCCGTTATTTAAAAAAAAATAAAAGGTCAATTTTAACGTTTTATTTAGATTACAAAAATAAATCGTAATAAAAATAATCCTATTTATGATGTTTTAAAATTAAGACCTACGAAAGACTGATTTAAGATATTTTAATACCAATTAAGGCCTTAGTTTTATTTTGAAGAATTCAATGCCTTTTAAGACTTTTTAAGGACCCGCGGGAACCCTGCATGAGGATATCCTTCAGCCAACACCAAGCCTCAGAAATCTGTATCGGATGTAATGTAGTGTATTATGTACACTGTGCTTAATCTGTATTATTTTTTGTATTTGTATTTTTTTTTTTGTGCTTAATTTTAACTTAATACTTTTAAGGCTTGTAAGCTGCTGGTAACCTTCATTTCCGGAGGGAGTCTTCCCAAGAGATCAATAAAGTACCGTCTAAGTCGAAGTCTAAGAAATGTAGTCCGGTGCATCCCAACTGCACAGGTTGTAAAACAAAACATTGGGTGGGAGTTTCTACAGGAAGTCGCACCTGTTTAGGTCCACCTTGAAGGATCAGCAGCTCCTTGACAACCATTGGCTGGTAGACTTTTCCAAGGAGGCTCCTGAGGGCCTCTTTACACCATTGACGCACATCTGTGCCAAGTGGCTGTATCAGGAAGGAGAGGACAGAAAATTAACCAACAGAATAGAAAATGAAAGAAGAATAAAGGTGTAGGGAGAAGTAAACTCACCTGGTCGTCCTCTCGCTGCGGCTCATAGCCCAGCTGGCACAGCGCTGCCATGACGTCCCCCAGATGTCTGCTGAACACCAGCGTGGCCAGGGTTGCCAGCTCCGCCACCTGCAGCAGGACTCTGGTTGTGGTCAGCAAACGATGTCCCACAGGAGGCGGAGCCTCCTTCTGGATCAGTTCTTCCACCACAGCACCGAACGCCGACCTGCGGCCAAGTGGGACGCCGACCCCTGTGGACAGGTACGGACAGAGCCCCAGAGAGACCACAAACTGCAGGGCGGAGCTGACCGTCTTCTGCTGGGAGACGCTAAGGACGTCGGGGGGGAGAGGCGGGGCCATTTCAGGTGTACGGACTTTTCCTGCAGGAGGTGGCGGAGCCCCCTTGAAGCGCTTCAGCTCATCTGTCAGATGCTGGGTTAAGGTGAGGAGGAGGAGGAGACACTCCTGAACAAAAATCCAGGTGACGTCTTCTGTGTCGCTGCTGAACCAGTCGGCTGCTGCCTTCACCTCCTCCCTGAGCCGCCCCGCCCGTTGCAGGCCGCCGTCGCTCTGAAGGCGCTCCAGAAGAAGGGCCCTGTTGGCCCCGAGAGCCACATTTAGGGCCTCCTGCTGTGAAGTCTGTGCAGACGCCTCTGCAGACACAAATGCACAGACAGTCAGCTGCTTTCCAGAAATAAAATAAAAACTGCAGAAACAGTGGAAACAACAGGGGGGCACTGACTCTGATTCAGCACGCATGTCACCAGATTCATCAACCATAATAGGACTTATTTCAATAAGCTTTACAGTCTATAATCACAGCATTCGCTCCAGAATGACGTTCCTGCTTAATCTAATTTTACGTGTTTAGTTTTTTATATCTAATATTTCACAGAAATTAAAATGGAGGATTTGATAATCATGGTAAATTGTGGTCATCAGTTTCTCCAGGATTCTGCGGTGGGATTTTTTTGGTAGTTTTTATGGATAACAAAATCACATCCATTCTCCACTAAAGTTAAGAAACATATTGAGTTTGCCAAATCAGTTCATAAGCAGTCGCAGCATCAGTGTCCAGCCCAGTAAAGCACTCAGACGCGCTCCTCATTCCATCCTGTCAGCAGTGCAGCTGTGGTTCTGTTCACTGATATTCACAGCCCACAATCTGGACAGCAGAGTTTTTAAAAAGAGAAAATTCAGGAGGTATTGGTTCATTAATTGTTCCTTTTCATTTCAACGTGTTTAAATGTGAAGAATAAATAAAAAACCCTAAAGCAGCGGGTAAAAAAAACCCAACAAGCAGAAAGAAACAAATTAAAGACAGAAAGCCACCAGACAGGATGACAGGGAAGAGACATTGCTGCCTCATCAACCTGCAAGAAGATGGAAAAACATTTTAAAGCCCGACAATCACCAGAAGAAAACATGTCAGACAGCAGCGGAGAACTTAGTGACAAATGACAGAAGCTCAGTGACTCCATGTTTACAGGCTCACCTTTCTGACAGCAGTTTACCTGAGTTAGGAAAAGCCAAAGCCTCTTCCACAGCCAACATATTTTTATATGATAACTTTAATGTAAAACTGTAATCATGTTGATGACTTTCAAATCTCTGTTAAATTATTTAAGTTCAATTTCTAAAAGGTACTGACAAAAGCAGGAGACTGAATTCTTACCATGAATATGACAAAAACACTGGATTCAGAATTATAGGATTCGTGGAAATTTTCTTTAACACAGGTGAAGACAGCAATTTAGAAATAGAATATTTTATATTAGCATTATATATGTAAAAAATACTCTTCATGACAAGTTAACCCTTTATGGGGCAAGTTACTGTTTTTGATCCCTTGCCTTACAAATTGACCCCCCCCCCCCCTTCCCTCAGTGAGATCTAGAAGCAAAAGATCTATATCCAGCCATTCAGCAAAGATACTGCAACATGGCTGCCCATCTAATTTTGGCATTTGACCAATTAGATGAGCCCTTGAACGCTATATTACCCACTGTAAATTAAGTTGGGAAAAAAAGGTAAAAAGCTAATTAAAAAGTAAAATTAAAAAGTTAATAAGCCTAGTTATTTATTATATTAAGGTTTATAAACTATAAAAATGTAAGTGCAGGTATCAGCATTAATGCCTCTAAGGTTATGTTGGACCATAAATAAAATTCTTTCCCTCTCAAGAGTGTTTTTCTTGATTTTCTTATAGAAGCACTTTTGTTATTTTTCTTAATATATTTAGGCAAGTTGGTGTTTCTTCTTATTAAAGTGACGTTCATTTTTTCCATCAAAATATAAATAATTTTTGAATGTTACAAAGGTAAGAAAGTCAGTCTATTGGCTAATACTCCCTGCATAATTATAATAAAGCTATTTATATGCATAAACCAAGCAGAGCACTATGATGATAGCCGTACTGCTCCACTTGTGAAAGTAAAGAGGAAAAAGAAATGTTGATTTTCAAAGTATTTCACTGAGTGCCCTATAAAGAGTTAAGCACAGTGGTGGAGGTCTGATGATCTGGGCTGAACCATGAACAGGATCAAACAGCAGCTGAGCTACTGAAGAATGGCAGGACATGAAAGAACACACGCGATCAAAGCTCAGACTGACTAAAATGCTGCTGAAGAGCCTTAAAAGAGCAGAGACAAATGTCTGCAGATATCTAAGATGTTGGGGCAGAACAATGTGAGACAGGCAGCCTGGAGCTGCTAGTATGGATTCTAGCTTCTTCGGTCAGATTGAAACTCACCGCCCAGAGGTTTGGTCAGGATGTTTATGGCGGAGAGGATCTCGGAGGTCATCTCAGACCTCCACCTTCATCCCACCACCACTGCAACTCTCACCTGGGGTCTCTTTCACATAGAAACCCCCTCTTCTCCACGTTGTATCCGCTAAAAGTAAGCATATGGTCGCAGAAACTGACGTAGACGTCTGACGTCATCGCGCACTGCCTTGTACCGCCCCGATGAGACGCAGAGCCGATCAGATAGTCCTGTCAAAGGCATTAATGACGATGGGCAGTATGGCAAGCAGTTCCAGCGCAATGGCGGCGCTCAGAGATTCTATAGTTCTGGGGAAGTTAGCCGCTCTCTCTAGCATTCAGTCCCTGTACTCACCATAGACACATGTAAGAGTAAACCCCGCATTTACTGCCGCGGCGCAGAAATTATGGGCGCCATCTTATGGGGTTCCATTTGTATCAAAAATAAAAAGAAGTCATATGTGCAGATGTGTCGTTGCTATGTGTCGTTGGTCTATGTCGTTGGTCTATGTTGCATGTATATGTAGATGTTGCATATGTGTATGTTGCATATGCGTTCGCTGCATATGTCTACGTTGCACATGCGTTCGCTGCATATGTCTACGTTGCACATGCGTTCGCTGCATA